GATGGAGCTTGGCGCACAGACATGTTCGAGGCCTTCCTCCCTACCGAGGTCTGCTAGAAGATTCTTAGCGTGGCTGTTGACACGCTCTCTAACGAAGAGGGCACCCTCTTCTGGACTGCTTCCCCGGACGGAAAGTTCTCCACCAGGTCGGCCTTCACCCTCATCACTCTGCAGCCTCAAGACCCGGATGAGAAGCTCTGGAAGATGGTCTGGAGCCTACCAGTCCCGGAGAGGATCCGCGTTTTCATGTGGCAAACGTGCACCGGGAAGATTGCCACTAACATCTTACGTTTCCATAGGAAAGTTGCTGTGAACCCGTTCTGTACGAAGTGCCCGGGGTCGCCAGAGACAATCTTGCACACTCTCAGAGACTGCCTTCCAACTACCTTCTTCTGGCTTCGCCAGACCGCGGGAATGCAACAACAAGACTTCTTCACTCTCGATCAGAAAGAATGGCTGCGCAACAATCTCTCGAGGACGGATGCAGTGGCGACAGGGATGCCTTGGCCTGCTTTCTTCATTATAGCGTTGTGGCTCATTTGGAAAAACCGTTGTGTTCTTTGTATGCAGGGTACCGGAGCAGTCCTCACCCCTCCCTCACTTGAGCACTCGATTTTAGCCAAGGCAAAGATGTGGTATAATGCTTGGCTCGCCCCTTCTCTTCTTTCCTGCAAGGGAAGCCGACCAGCTGACAGAGTGGAGGAGGAAGCGGGTTGGAAGCCACTTCCAGATGGATGGATCATGCTCAATACTGACGGAGCCTCCAACGACAATCCTGGGCAGTAGGGGCTGGGGGTGTGTTGCGCGATCAGATGGGACGCTGGGTTGCAGATTTTGTCGCCAACCTTGGCACCGCCATGGTGATTCTCTCAGAGATTTGGGGAATCTCCTTCGGCCTGGACATCGCTTGGAAGTATGGAGGAAGAACTATTCACATTTAGACTGACTCGCAGCTGGCGCTGCAGCTCTTTAAGGCTAGACATGACCCGATCCACCCGTATGCTACTCTCCTTTCCGCCATTCGCAAGAAGTTTAACCGTGACTGGTTGGTTCGCTTAACGCATACTTACCGGGAAGGGAATAGAGTCGCGGACTGGCTCTCGAAGCACAGTCACGTCTATCCCTACGGTATGCATGATTTAACGAACCCGCATTAGGAAATTAATTCTCTGCTTAGAGAGGACATCATGGGCATCACCAGCACCCGTAGGGTGGTTGCTACCTCTTCTTCCCCTCTTTTCACCTCCTCCATGTAACTCTCTTTTTCTTGGCTTTTAGCCTCCCTCTGATGCAAAGAAAGAAAAAAAAAATTGGTGCAATTGAAGGGTGTCATTTCATTTTGGCTTCCACCTCACTTTGCAATTGCAAAGTATTCACCGATGGAGATGATCTAAGTAAGAACCTTAAATCTTTTAATAATTTAATTTTATTTAATAATTAATTATGTTTGTTTATGCCAAGTTCATCCTTCTCTCTCCGAAAGCGCTTTAGCTACTTCCCCTCCGGCAGGCGAGGCCCCTAAACCCTGCACGTGAGGTGCACCGCGAACCCTTGCAGTCCGTTAGCACTCCGACAATCAAGTTAGCACCATGATTTTAGAGAGAGGAGTGGAATAAGGTTTTAGTGAGGGAGCCGAGCCTGAGTAAATAAGGTTCACCTACTCGGCTATTTATACTCGGAGTCTTAGCAACCATTGCCCCCCAAATCTGTCATACGTCATCACTGCAATAAATGCGATGTACTACCTTTTTACAATGCGCCTCGACCACCTGACACCTGATTCAGAAGTCTGAGGCACATGACCTCATTCCCTGCGCCTTTTGTACGATTTCGATCGTTATGCTTTCTTGTCTTTATGCGCTCCGTGTCAGAAGTCGGGTCTCACCCTACTAGACTGTCAACTATCTACTTGGGTTGAACTCTGTCACTACTGGGATTGTGTTTTGGGCCATGGTCAACACTTTGGGCCCTTCCTTTTGGGCGGCTTTCCATACCCCAACAATGTTATAATTTGTTTGGGTAAATGACACATTTGGTCACTGAGATTATTAAATTGTGTCATGTTTAGTCACTAGAAAAAATTAATATCAATTTTGGTCACTCGAATTATCGAAACTGGTCAAATTTAGTCACTCTCCCGTCAGTTTCCGTCCAACTCCATTAATGTAGTTGGACGGAAACTTTTGGGAGAGTGACTAAATGTGACATGTTTCAGTAATCCGAGTGACTAAATGTGACATTTTTCAATAATTCGAGTGACCGGAGTTGGACAGAGACTACAGAAGAGTGACCAAATGTGACCTGTTTCAGTAATTCGAGTGACCAAAATTGATATTAAATTTTTCTAGTGACTAAATATGACACGATTTAGTAATCTCAGTGACCAAATGTGTCATTTACCCTAATTTGTTTCTTCATTTTCTAAATAAAACATTTATTTCTAATAATTTTTTTTCTAAACGAGATACCCATATTTTGTTATCTGCTCTTTAAAGGAACAATGTCGGTTGACCATTAAGTTTACCTTAATTTCAACTAGCTTGTTGTCCGACCCGTTGGTCGAAATGTCATTTAAATATAATTTATTTATGATGTGTATTTAAATTTTTAAAATTAATTGAAATGCTGAATTTCGTATGACATCAAGGTGACATCGAAATTATTTTTTTATTTTCGAAATTCTTATAACCTTTCATCAATGGTGAACATTGTAATATTAATGGTTATAACCAAAGTTGTCAAACCGGTTTAAGTCGTTGAGCCGGTCAAGCACGTAGTTTGAAGTTTAATGGTTTGATTGAGGTCCAACCTATTTGAGCCGTTTTACACCTTTTCTAAATATACTTACATATAAGATAGAAATTTAATGACTAAAATAGAATGTACTAACTTATATCCATAAAAAACTCAAATAGTCAAATTCCATAACAAAACATACATTTCTCAAGATCCACCCACCATCCCCTTGCCTCTCTCCCCCCTCCCACTTCCTCTCTCTTATTCTCCCTTTATAATGACCAGACCCTTGATTTTGTAGAGCCCATTTTGGAGCACGACTTTGGTCAAACATAGTCCAACCAGTCGCCCGGTAGAGGTATCACAACCTTGGTTATAAAACTTGTGAATAACCATTCATAACTTCTCTATTTAATGATGTAGTCACTTAGTTGCCTATGGTTGAAAAGAAAATTGACATAACAAAAAAAGAGTTTGTATGAAAAAACATAGCATAAATAGGAAACTCATGATGATAACATTTAATCAATATTTATTTCTTTTGCTTGAGAAACAATACATATATAGTAATATCTAAACCTTAAAGTATTCCGATAATACAATAACAAAATTAATAAGAAAATAACATTTTCCATCCATACTCTATGCAATGAAAGAATTATTTATCAACATAGATACTCTAAATTTAGTTGAAGGACAATCTTATTCACTCAACAACAACAACAAAAAAAACATATCTTGTGGTGCATACCTTGCTAATGCACATGTCCCATCAACGCTTCCATGAAAACTCCCGACCGACTTCCATGACATCTTAAACTAAGTAACTATGAATGATACATCTAGTCAATTACCCTATTGAAATCATCTATAAAAATCGGTATTCATAAATTGTGTTCTTTTAAACTCACCCATTTTTCCAATCATGTTATTATCAAGAAACTTAGGATTTAAATATTAACCAAACTAAAACTTTCAAAAGACTGGTCACTTACAGTTTGCATAACAATATCGTTGCTTTAATAGTTCTAAAAATCAATACCAATTTAAGAATTCTACATCACATCTACACATTCAATACTACAATATTCAATATGCAATATTCGAATCAATGATATTTGGATTTCAATTTTAAAATTATTCTCCATTTATAAGAGGACATAAATTAAACTTACTATTAACCTCAAATTAAAATAATCAAAATATGAAAATTAAATATAAAATAACAAAGAAAGTACTTTCAGGAGAGTTGGTGGGCTAGCTAACAATAATGAAAAAGTCATATAATTTTTAGATTTGAGGTTTTTAGATTTTTTATTTAAAAAGATACAAAACATTTATAATTGGTAATGGTTGTTGTCTTCGTTTGGAAAGACAATGGTTCGAATTTTGAGAATGATGTTTTTTCTTCTCATGAATGAAAAATAAATAATGAAAAATAAATAATGATTGTGAAGATACAATTACCCTTTCTACTTTTGCTCTCGTTGCAAAAAATTCGAAATGCTGAAAACTGGCCCAACTCTGCTATAATGTATTTATAGACGGATCAATCTAATTTTAATCTTGGAATACTTTTTGAAGATAAATGATAACTTAGGGGTCGTTTGGAGAGTATGAGTTTAAATCTACAGATTGTCAACAATCTAAAGAGTCTAACTCTTCGGATTGTCGAAAACAAATTTAAAAATGTTTATTGTTTGGTAACTGTGATTGTTAACATTCAAGTAAAATAAAAAAATTAATTTTATATTAAATAACATGTTTATTCTTAATATAAAATTAGAGTGGTTCGAGAAATATTAAAAACATTGTTGATAAATATATTTCGTGTGATAAATAAATAAAAGGAAGAGAAAAATATCACGAATCAAGATATAGAATCTCTCTGATTATGAGATATTTGATATCCGCAGATTTCAGAGATTTGAAATCTCTAAAGCTAAAATCCACAATACAAAAAACAACAAAAAAACATAACTTTATACAAAATCTACGAATTCAATGAATCTATATACTAAATCCTGTTCTCCAAACAACCCTTAAGTGTTTAATCGGCGTTCATTTAGCATAACACATTGTAACGTCGAAGTAATAAGGCCTTAGTTAAACTGGGCTCATGTAGTCATGTTCCCAACCGTAAGATTATTATTCTGAAAGAGCCCAACTGTTATGAAGAGGCCCGTTCAGTTTCCCCGCCAAAAGTACACTTTTCCCGCCAAACTCACGCTCATTACCCGCTCACCATTCCCCCGGCAACTAGGGCACGAAACAATAGGGCCACATTTTGCACTTCCTACTAATGTGTTCTCACTTTCTCACCTTCAATTCGATTGAGGCGTGAAACTCTGCAATTCCTGCTGCGTAGAAGCCGTGATTCAGTCGAAGAGCTTAAGAAATGGCGAGCTTTGATGACCGGAGCAGTCACAAACGAGCTTTCCTCGAGTTCTTGGACCAGAATGTAAATCTCTATCTCTCTCCCTCCGCCCCTTTGGATTTCGCTTGTTTTTTTTGGGATTTATAGAGTTGGAACAGTGACGATGAGTGGCCGAATTGATTAGGTATACAAGAACGAGATCAAGGCCATGATTGACCAGCGGCGCCGCCGTCTCATCGTCAACATCTCCGATCTGCACTCCTTCCAAGACTTCGGTCCCAGGTTCCTACACTCATTTCTTCCCTTTTGCATTTCGAAAATTTCAAACCTAAGCTCGTTTTCATTTCGCTTATGGAGGAGCTTAGGGTTGAAGAAAGAGTATGTCAAAACCCTTTAGTGGTTACGGTTTATTAGACTTGAGTGTCTTCACTGATGTTGTCTTCAGGAATGGGACTATAATTCTGGTGCCTTTACCAATTTGTTCTCTCTGTGAAATTCGAATTGGTCTCGACTGTGTTAACATTTACCCTTGCTTTGGCGGTGGTTTAGGATATTGAAGAATCCAAGTGAGTTTATGCAACCATTCTGTGATGCGGCCACAGATATTGCACGAAGTATCGACCCGCTGTTCTTGAAGGAAGGAGAGCAAGTTCATGTCGGTTTCGAGGGCCCTTTTGTCTCTCGCCGTGTCTCTCCCAGAGAGCTTCTCTCTGAGTACATAGGCACCATGGTCTGCGTGGAGGGCATTGTCACCAAATGTAACCTTTTAACTTTCCTTAGCTTGTTTGGATAAAATTTTGGGAGTGGATGCTAATTTAACTTGTGCTTTTGGCTTTCATTTTGTCCAATTGTAGGTTCTCTTGTTAGGCCAAAGGTTGTGAAAAGTGTGCATTACTGTCCTACAACTGGAGACTTCACTTCTCGCGAGTACAGAGATATAACGTCTAATGTGGGCTTGCCAACGGGGTCTGTTTATCCTACAAGGGTATGCCTGAGTGACTTGAGTAGTAAGTTTGTCAAATACTTACTGGGTTGACCTTTTGATGATGGAAACATTGATAATACAGGATGAACATGGGAACCTCTTGGTGACTGAGTATGGCTTGTGCATGTATAAAGATCACCAAACCTTGTCAATGCAAGAGATGCCTGAGAATTCTGCTCCTGGTCAGCTCCCACGAACACTGGATATTATTGTGGAGGATGACCTTGTTGATTCATGCAAGCCTGGCGACCGGGTGGCTATGGTTGGGATATACAAAGCACTTGCTGGGAAGACCAAGGGAAGTGTAAATGGTGTGTTTAGGTAAGAGTAAAGGTCCTCTATTTGGCGTAAGCTATTTTCTGGTTCTATTCTCGTGACATCTAGTTTCAGTTTTGATTAAGTGACGCTTGCTATGCAGGACCGTGCTGATAGCTAATAATGTTTCCCTCCTGAACAAATTGGCAAGTTCTCCAATTTACACGGCTGACGACATCAAGAACATTAAAAAGATTGCTGAAAGAGCTGATGTTTTTGACCTACTCGGTAATTCGCTTGCACCTTCGATATATGGGCATTCATGGATAAAGAAAGCTGTTGTTTTACTGATGCTTGGTGGAGTGGAAAAGAACTTGGAAAACGGCACTCACTTAAGAGGGTGAGTTATACTTTACTGATGCACTTACTGGAAGTGGAGGCTTCTGGTGCTGCACCAACTTGTTATTATTGTGTATATCTGAGTATTTTGATGGATTCCGGGATTGAATTCCTTTGATTCTGTTGAAAAAAAATGTATTTTCTCCCTTTTCAGTGACATCAACATGATGATGGTGGGTGATCCTTCTGTTGCCAAATCACAACTACTCCGAGCAATCATGAATATTGCTCCTTTAGCTATATCAACCACTGGCCGCGGGTCTTCTGGCGTGGGTTTGACAGCTGCTGTAACTTCTGACCAAGAAACAGGTAACAACGAACATGGAGTGTGACATGACATTCTGTTTTCTTCTTTCTGTTTCTTTCCAGAAATTCAGGTTATAGCTTCCCCTCATTCTTGAATGTTAACAGGAGAAAGAAGGCTAGAAGCTGGAGCCATGGTTCTCGCTGACAGAGGTGTTGTTTGCATTGATGAATTTGACAAGATGAATGATCAGGATCGTGTTTCCATTCACGAAGTCATGGAGCAGCAGACTGTTACTATTGCAAAAGCAGGGATCCATGCATCACTAAATGCTAGATGCAGTGTGGTGGCAGCTGCAAATCCCATATATGGAACTGTAAGCTAGACAATCTTTCTCTTTTCAAATAATCAATAGTTTCTCTTTTCTCAAACTGCTGAAGTGAAATAATGTTTCTGGGTTGTTTGTTATTTGATGGTATGTGGCAGTATGATCGCTCAATAACGCCTACCAAGAACATAGGACTGCCAGACTCTTTGCTTTCTCGTTTCGATTTGCTTTTCATAGTACTGGATCAAATGGACGCTGATATTGACCGCCAAATCTCGGATCACGTCTTGAGGATGCACCGGTATCGTTCAGCAATAGACGCAGGGGAGGCAGCAGTTGATGATGCGAGTGCAAGATACGCAAGAGAAGAGGATGCCGAGACCGACACATCGGTATTTGTCAAGTATAACCGAATGCTTCATGGGAAGAAAACAGATAGAACCCGCAAAAGGGATACGCTTTCTATAAATTTTCTGAAGAAGTATATTCACTATGCTAAGCATAGGTTCCAGCCTGAGCTGACCGACGAGGTGGGTCAGCCTATTATCATTTGTATTTGGAATATGCATAAGAAAATCAACCTTTGACCTTTGTAGTAGTCCTCTCACCCTTTGTTGGTCCACAGGCGTCGGAACAAATTGCAACTGCTTATGCTGAGCTGAGAAATTCTGGGACAACCACAAAGGTTTGTTTCTGACAATATGCATTATGATTACTGACATTATCAATGCTCTCAAATTCGACACCTGTGCATTTTGTAGACGGGAGGAACACTTCCAATCACTGCCAGAACGTTAGAAACCATAATACGTCTCTCAGCTGCCCATGCAAAGTTGAAACTAAGTAGACAGGTATTTGAGTTTTAAGTTGATATATTCTTTATGCTTGCTATATATTTCGTGAAAAACACTTGGGCGATCGTCTGTAATGGATGGGAGTTGCCTTCCTTGGCCAGGTCACGAAGTCTGACGTTGAAGCTGCTCTGAAAGTTCTGAACTTTGCCATATATCATAAAGAGTTGACTGACATGGAAGAGCGTGAACACGAAAGGGAGAGGGAAGCCGAGAGAGAGAACAGAGCTCAGCGTCGCCGTACCAATCGGAACACAGCAGGAGATGATAATCAAGCCACTACTAATGCGGACGGAGACGGGTGAGTAGACAGTAGACTCCCCATATATCCAAACCTCGTATTATGTTTTAGTGGACCGTTTGGACGTGGGAATTTAGAGGGACGAAATCAGCTTTTAATTATCTGCCGAAGGAATTCAGAAATTCATCCATTTGGACAACGAGAAACTGTTACCGAATGGATGGGATTTGGAAATATCCCATTTCAAGATTACAGCATCCAAACAACACCTTACTGGTTTCATTTATGTTGGCCTGATCTTGTTAGCAACACTCTGGTTTTTCATAATCCCTGCTAGACTAATTCCTCTCCATCTCATTTGCTCCTTCCTCAGCCCTGATGTAGACGCCATGGATGTAGATGAGCCTGCTGAGCAGCCCACTACAGGGATATCTACGGAAAGGTTCGTACTTCGTACCTAAGGGGAAGCCCATCATATGTAGCGATGACATAATTCTCACAGCAGGAGACTGCCTGTAACTCGGTTTCTGGGGGGTTTTGCAGGACCGAAGCATTCAACTCAGCGTTTCTTCAGTGTATGCGGTACCAGCAGAGCATAACCATAGATGATCTGGAGAAGGCCGTTAACACAGGAGCTGCTATTTACTCGAGACCAGAGATCATGACCTTGTTACAGGTAAACCTTCAAAATAACAAAGCAACTTTATCGCCTAAACAGCAGCATACGTTTCCCCCCCTCTTCTTTCACTCTTGACTAAAGTCTGTCTCTTTCTATTGCTATTTTGCCAGAAACTGCAAGATGATAACAGAGTGATGATTGCCGACGACGGAAAAGTTCATTTGGTTTGATTTGCTATCCTTCAACTCCTGACGTTGCCTTGCTTGACAAGTAACCAATGGCTTGTGAAAGTGGTGCCTGATTGAACGTGATCGTGTAATGTATTTGTAGCTTGCTTGTTCTCCACACTGATCCCCACATTTCCTTAGCGAATTTCGCAGAGTAGGATGATCATCATTAGCAATGGTTCTCTCTGTGTCGTTAGCGACGTGGTAGAACTAATATAGCAGACTCTCACTTTCCTATACTCCATGTTTGTTCGGTTTGTGAACAATCCTCTCTACAAAGTGACTAGTGACTGCCTAGCCCTAGTGTCTTAATCACAAATTGGTGTTTTATGAATGTTCGACGCAGCAGGTTTAGAACCACTAGATTGAAAATCGTCTCTCATATGGGTGCACCTAACTATTCATATTAAGATCTCTTTGCTTCTATCAAATCGAAGTAGCATGTAAATTGTAATAATATTTTCGAGTAAAAGTTGAACTTTGCCTTGTACATATTGGATCTTGTTGACATGAACTTATAAGAAAACTAATAATTTAGATTGTTAAGAAAAATATAAAATTGTTAAGAAGGTTAATGATCGTTATAAACCGATTTTCGGGAAATATTTGTGTGTTTTACCCCTTGCAATTTTGTCCTTGTTTTTAATGATTTTCGATTATGTAATTGATTATTACTCGGAAACCCGTTAAACAATACCCAAACAAATAAGCCTAAGAAAAAATTCACGCTCATACAACCGGTCTGGTTAACCGGCAAACCAAAAGTTGAAAACCAATTTAGCAAATCCTAATTAATGACATTCAGTATCAAGGTTGTTAAATCCTTATCGGCCCCTCAATTGAATCCGGTCCGACCTTAGTCGGGCTTCAAACTGACCTCCAGAAAGCCCACCGGTCGGACCCCTAAAGAGCGAGAAGAAGAGAGAGGGAAGGGAGGAGGGGAAAGAAGGAAGGCAAATGATGAGTTTTCATGGAGGTTAGGTAGATTTTATTTTGTGAGAAATAAGTTTTCAATAAATCTATGTAAGATAAATTTCAGTTAAGTAATTAAAATTTTAATTACTACCATATTTCTACATATATTTAGAAAACATGTCGGACCCCGATCAAATCAATAAACCTCAAATCTCTTACTTGACCGACTTAATAACTTAACCCGGTTTGACAACCTTGTATCCACTATCTAGTAGGTGGCCTATTTAATGAATCAACCAAACTAGCTATTCTTCCACCATATTTATGGATTGCCCTGCAGTCTGAAGTCTGAACTCCCATCAGAGAGACGATTCCATTTGCTGAGTCTCTGAACGCGAGCAGTTTTTTCATTCGCCTCCTGAACCTCCCCAGAAGATAGCAGAGCAGCACAATGCTTGTGGGATTTGGCTTTGCTTGCAGAGTCCATCTGACACTGAACAGAGCATCAAATCAATTAAAAGATCTTTTCACTTCCTTCTCACCTGGAGCTTCTCAACATAAATATACAACCACCCACAACTCCATAGAAGAAAGCAAACAAGAGAGAGAGTCGAAGTTTGAAGCTCTTTTCACCTTCCGACGGAATGGAGGAGGAAGGCGGCCGGCGGTGGATGTTCAAGGTGAAGACCCCCCGTTTTTCGACGATCATCATGGACGATTCAGCTCGTGATGAGAAGCTGGTGAGTTTCTTTCGTTTCTGCATTTAGCAGACCTCGGTTAATCAATGGGTTCCGTTTTCTTATTTTTGCTTTCTACAAGCCTGCTTCGTGCTTTACATTCTGAGAAATTGTTGCTTTTGATCTCTGTCCTCTTCTTCGCACTTCCCCCACTTTCTTGATTTGTGTTCTTCGTGAATCAATTGCAGTGCCTCCCTAAGTTGTTTACAGCAGAGTATGGAGCTCTGCTGCCAGAAAATGTAATTTTCAAGCTCCCAAGCGGAGCAGAATGGCGAGTTGGGTTGCTCAAAAGCGGCGAAAAGATCTGGTTCCACGAGGGTTGGAGAGAATTTGCTGATTTCTACTCACTAGCATCGGGGCAGTTGCTGGTTTTTCAGTATGGTAGCCATGGCCGTTTCCTTGTTCTCATATTTGATAAGACCGCCCGTGAAATCGATTACCAGACCCATGAAACTAGTGTGAGACTTGAGCCAGAGCCGATAATAGATATCTCTGACGATACCTCGAATGATCGCTGCCCTTCCCCAAAAGCAAGAGAAAAACCGCCAGTAAGAGCTCCCCAACCCAAGAAGCTGAAAAGAAGAATCGATGATGAAAGGACCGAGAGAACCTCTGAGACTATTATCTGCCATGGTCCCACTTCTAGAGTGCAAGGTCTGTCCATCAAAGTTTGTCCTCCCATGTCATTGGTTGATACGTTTTCTTAAGGGTTTCCAACTATTGTTTCATTACTCAGATAAACCTAGTAAGAAACGGCATGGGGAATTCCAGAAGGAAAGACCATTGGCAGCTGACGAGAGAGCTAGTGCACTTACTAGAGCTATTTTTGCTTTCCAATCGAAGAACCCTTTCTTCATGATTGTTATGCAGCGATCGTATCTTGGCCCTGGAATGAGATTGGTAATTCATTCATTAAGCTCTTCTTATGTTAGTAAGTTCAGCAGGTCTATTGTGGTTCTAATGTCCCAAGTTCCTCTATTTGTTTGCTGTTCTATTTGCTTCCTTGAATGCCAGTATCTACCTATCAACTCTGTGATGACAAAATTGGAGGAATGCGGAGAGATTCAACTCCAACTTCCTGATGGAAGATCCTGGATGGTTAAGTACTTTGCCGTGGATGCTTGTAATAAAAGGAAGATCAGAACTGTGTTTGATAGCCGAAGTTGGGGTCGGTTTGTAAAGGAGAACGAGTTGAGAGTTGGCGATGTATGTGTATTTGAGCTGGTTGAAGGCGGTGCTAAACCCAGACTGAAAGTGATCATCTTTCGAGCTCCCCAACATGCGAATCCCTACTCGTCTGTGTCGTCTCCTCCTAAGCTTCGGAATGAAATGGAGTCAAAGTCTGCTGGAAGAAAATCATATGTCAGTAGTGGTGGGTATTGGGAGTTTGGCAAATAATTACATGATGTGCTAACTCTTAGTTTCAACTATGTGCAGCCAATGATAAATCCTCTTTACCAGTTTACCTCATGTTGTTTAAAACAGGTGCTTCAAAAACTGCAGATGCCTTTACCTCCAAGCAACCATTCTTCAAAATACGTGTAGCTGATAGTCATCTAACCATGAACAAGGTGGTAAGTTCGCCAATCATTGCCAAGCCACATTTTTTATTATTATATTCATGTTACTTGTTTCCTTCATCTCTTCTCTGAAATGGACTGCAGAAAATACCAGCGGCATTTCGTGAGCATGTCAAGGGAGTGTATGATGAAGGGGAGTTAAGGGTTGTTGGAGGCAAATGGTGGGATGTAAGGATTGGAAGGTATGTGCTGAAAACTGGCAGGCAGGAAAAGGTACTGGCTAGCGGTTGGAGAGAGTTTACAGCAGGGAATCCTCTGGCACTAGGAGATGTCTGTGTTTTTGAGCTCGTTAAGCCTGAAAATGGGGATCCCATAAAGAGGGTGATGAAGCTAAATGTGCATATCTTCCGAGGGATTCGTAGTCAAGTCCCTTCAGATTAGGCACCCTTTTCTTGTGTAACCTGACTTAAATGTCTCCCTTCTGTTGCCTTTTGCTAATTTTGTTCAAAACTGCAGGGCTGATATATAATTAGTATGAACTTTTCTGATTGTTAGCCTACTTTTGTATAGGGGAGAATGCAGCCAATGATAGGGCAGGAAACCTTTGCTGATATCATATTTAGCAGCAGTAGTCATTGTACTAAGTACTAACATGATCGTGTGACTGCAGAAGTTTCAGTTAGGGAATTGACTCATTTTGGGAATCATCCTACGAAGTTGTGGAAATCTACAGATGCGTGTAACATTGAACACTTGGTAGTGATGTAAAATATTGCATTTTCCATCTGTAAGTTGAAGATTTCTTGGTGGTTCATATTACAAGCTCTTGAAAGAATGAAAAAAGAGCTGACATTTTCATTTGAGCTACCCATCAACTTGCTAGACAAAGCAAGCGACCAGAGTAGCAATGGCAGCAAGTGTGGCGGCTGGGAAAGCAAGGTTTGTTGTGGCAGCGCTTTGCATTTGAGGGGAAGGTGCCGCTGCTCCCGAATCTTGAGCTGCAACTGCCGAGCCTCCAAACCCAGCGATGAAAGCCAGGAGAACCATGATGTAGACAATGCAAGCCATGACGTTTCTCTTGCTAGCAGCTACCATCATGGAACTCTGCCAAACTTCCAAGCTGTGAGTTGAAATGGCAGTAGAAGGGGAGGAATAAGACGGTTTTGCTTTTGGGTTGTGCAGATTGAGAGCAAATATTGGTTCTATTTATGGAGTGGGTTCTCTGTGGTTCCCAGTCTTTCGTAGGGAGAATCTTCGCCCAGCTGTATGTTGGTTCAGTAGCAAAATACAACAAAGCATTATAGATGTGCTGGGCGGCAGAGATGAAGCAATGATTATAGACTAGCTGCCTGGCTTATTAAGGGCTGTCCTCTTTTGCTTTACTGCCTGGCTGCGGTTGGCGCCTTGGACTTGCGATGCAAGCAATTATATGGGTTATGGATGGCTCTGTTCGCTATATAAATGATTAAATTCTAGAGCGTTAAAGTTCGTCCTAAAATTACCGATCCTCGTCCCAACTGCTGCTGTCTGTCTCGCTGCCGCTGCAAAGAAGAACACTGTCCACTGGAGACTGACTACTGCAGATATGGCTCAAGTTACCCAACTTTAGTCCAGGAAAAATGCTCCACTGGTGGCTCTGATTGTGGTGGCTCTGATTGTAAGATAAAGTACTATAGAAAGAACAATTGGAAGAACATGTAAAAAACTTAGAATTATGAACTAATGTTAATGCTAATTGAAGATGCCGACTCTGGTGATCACAGCTGGCTTGTAGCTGACTGGGTGCTTTGTCAGATGACATTCTGTAGTCTGTAATAGGGTTTTGTTTGCAGCAAAGTGTAACATGGACACTATCATCCTCATATCACTAAATATGACTTTCTATAAAATTTTCGAAATTGTATTGAATAATTTTGAGTACATGTGTGTTGCGGGTTAATGACAAACAAGGTAATCTGGATTTTCCTAAACCTATTTCAATAATTTCTGCATAAAATTGGGGATCTAAAGGAAAAAAGTAAGGAAGAGAATCTCCATCTTGTCTCGTCTCGAGCCAGTAACGCCACTAAGCCAGTCTTCAGAATTTTGAGCACAATCCTCAGCTCCAACTTCAAACACTGTTAGGAAAATAGAAGGGTTTCCTCTTCTTCTCCCCAAAGTTCGTCGTAAAGAATATGCTTTCATCTTTATCCCCTTTGTCCTCTGAAATGGATCCGCGAAGCAAAAGTAATTTTCTGAGTTTTCCTTATTTCCAGACCATCTATACTCTGTGTATGTTCAACAAAGAAACACCTCTCTATACTTTCACCCCTTTTCTTCCCTTGCTTAGGCCTGCATCAAGATTCAAGCAAGAAATGTTGGCATATGTATGAATCTAGATTATAGGTTCTAGGGGTAAGAATAGTTCAAGGACTTACAGGTGAATGAGGGATCTGAAGAAGAATAAGTGAGAAACAGTACAAAAACAAAGAAATTGCAGCTCCAGCGATAACATTGTAGAAAAGCCGTCGGTTATCTTTCGTTGGGACGAAAACTGACTTCAATGTGTTTGTTAAGTCAAAAAGCCGATGGGAAACCTGGAAGCAAAGACCGCTGCTTGATTAAAAATCAAGAATTCATGTTGACCACAGCATGTTATATACATTGAGATTTAACTTCTGCTTACCAGGACGTAAATGGCAGTTGTGAGCATGAAATTCAACAATGGGTATCCTGGGATGAATGATAAAAGCCACTTAGGCTGTCCATTGGGCATGTTGGATCTAAAGCATGCATAAGAAAGTCATAAGAAACTCCCTTACTAAATAGCTACGAAATCGGAGAAGACTTAAGTGGTCATTCAGTGTACAAACCTCAACCAGATATGGAACTGTGAGATATATGTTTCCAAAGTTATCTTCCCAAGCCAGCTATAAACCGGAGTCCCAAACAAAGCAAAAAACAAATGTAATCAGAGAATGTCCAAAAAAGTAAATAGTAAAGTTTGTTGCATGTAAGTAACTTACGCAAAGAGAGTTAAAGAGCAACCCCGGAGCTGGTGAGTGAAATTCCTCAGGGAAATGTATACACTGGCATTAGAATAAGGCAGATGAAACAATGAGATAGTTGAAAGAACACGACATAACGGAATTATGTCTTTTTTGTATGCAGAAAACAAAAGCTAAGTCCTTGATTGATACATACGTGATGGGAATCCATGATGTGTATGGGTGGAACTTGTTGTAGGTTACCTTGTCCATCTTGTAAATATATTCATACCACATATATCCCACCTACAAGAAGACAGGATAATGGTTAATGACATAAAAAAAACTTGTAATTAACGAGGAGCTGAGAAGCAGATTATGGCAGGAGCAACTCACAAATACAGTAACTGCCACTACTCCCGTCTTGATTGAGAGTTTCTTCTTTGTTTCAGCTTCTTCCAATTTCTCCATCCATTTCTCAACCTGAGAATTTTCACAGCAGCGTGTAAGAGAGATGGTGAGCTTAGATAGTAAAAAATGGACATAGATCCTTTATCCAACAGAGATAGAACACTCACGGTCGGGTGATAATAAGCATATATCATTCCAATGATCCATATGTATCGATCAAGTCCAGATCTGAAATGCCATTCATGGATTCTAGGGAAATCAGGTTTTGCAGGATCAGTGTACCCTACAGTAGGAAAACAAATTAACTGTATTTTCACATCCAGACCTCAATGCCTAAAAAATTCCACAGGTGTGTAAACCACATTAGCTGGGAAGTGAGAACTATTCCATTGAAAGATAAGGAGAAAATGTGTTAATGAGAACAAACCTAACATAAATGTTAAAGGACTCCATAGGATTTCAAAAACCCCAGGGATTTCCCAGATGAAAATTACAGCAAGGAAGCAGGAAAGAAATTTCACTGCCATCACCGAACTGTTTTCGTTGTACTTGTTAAAGATACCCAGGGATCCGTACACCATTAAAGTGAAAAGTGTATGCATTGGGCAGATGTAGTACAACATGTAGTCATTGTTAAGAACAACACAGCAGAACACCACAAAGAAATTAAGCCGCCACATCATCTGCACCAGATATTTCAAGATTCAGAAGAATAGATCAGATAAGATAGAATGCAACAGAGAAGAATACTTGTGGTAGTTACAGAAAGAGTTAAACCTTGATAGAAGTAGAAACAAATACCTGAGCAAAGCGTGCTATGCTGAAATCTTTTCTGATGTAATAGTAAGAGAAGTTTCCAAACCCAGTCATCCAGACATAAGCAGCAATGAAGACTCGTATTGCATTGTATATCTCTGCCGCGGCGAAGTAATGATACATTAAGAATAGGACCTGTTAAACCAAACCAAATATTTTGGCATGAGAAAAAATCAAGCTATAACACCAAACATGAACAAGATAATCATCAACATAGTCAATGTGTTGTTACTAATATACAGTCAACGACAGGACTCGGTTGACTCAAACCTAATCTACTTCATTCTGGTGGAGAAGAAACTAACATCTTATTTTATTGTCTTAAAACTTGCTTGGCAGCTTCTAACACCGGACGAAGGATGATCCACTAACTATCACAAGGTTATGGAAGGGGGGGTTCAAAAACCGTTAAATGACATGAAGAAGCACTGTTCACTAACAAACCTAAATAGAGGAAGCAAAATGGAAATGAATAAGTTTGACATGTAGAACATCACATCAAACTCCAAAATAAGTGCATTTTTAAAATTGGTGTATGAAGCTACTAAATAGAATTAATTATTTGCTACAATTTGATAGGAAATAATACTGGCCTGCATCCATCCTTTCCACTCCTCAGTCTGATGCCTGTTCAAGTACATAATGGATTTCCCGGAGAATGCTGACTTGTCACTATGCTTCTTAAAAGAAGTCATCGCTGATACTATAATGAGGATAATGTAGAGAAAGATAAAGAGGTCGCGGTTGTATGTCTGTCCAAAGAACAACAGAATAAGCAGATGGAGTCACAACAGTGTCCAGCATTAGCAGTTCATAGACCACGCAAAAGAGTAATGTAACGTCACTTTTGAAGGAGATGACAGTAACAGTACCTTAGTAGAATCTGCCAGCAAATTTGTGCGATCACATATGTAAAAATACACTAAAAGTGCCCCAAATTCAGACCTGCAGAAGTTTTTCTGGTTAGAATTTAGGATAGGGGGAACTAAGGAACAAAGAACATGGACATTGAAAAATAAACTAGCATCACTTACATTGCTCTCAAAGTTGCTCTGTTTTCCAGCAAGAAAGCATCATCCATGGTCAAGAACCTGGTAAATTATATGTGCAGAGGGTAAGATAATTAATGTCAAAATACAATTGCCAGGATAACAATACATCCTAGAATTGAACCTGATTAAATTCATTTTGATAGATGAAACATGGAATTTCGTCGATGCTGATCTTGCAAGACCTCCTTCCAACAATACTGCTCGCTCGTCTTCTTTGACAGCATCCTTCCCCAATTCATCAAGGTTGTTGTCTGAATGACTGCAGTACGGACAGCTCAGTTGTCAGGGTCAAGGGAAAACAAATTAAGAGGACGATAAGACCAAATTTTATGACTAGGAAATGGGAAGCCAATATGTATTCTCATCCAACATAAAAAAAACAAAACTTCTAGGGGACATTAACTATTGTACCCAAACAGCTGAACTTTAGCAAATTTGCTCTACAACCTATGTCGGGCTTCACGTAAGCTGCATCCTGAACTCAACAGAAAACAAGCTAGCAGCTGTACAAGCAGCATCATAATCTGCTCAATCGGATAATACATGGAATGCACTTACACTTTGGCAGGAGCAGAAGACTTCTTGTACTCCAGGAACTCTGAGTATATCCATGCAGTAAAGATTGGGATAAAACCAAGCAAAAAGGACACCTGTGTCACAGTAAAGTAACTTTCACATATATACACCTACAAAGCTAAGCACACGAAACCGGCCTCAAATATGTCATCAGAACGAATAATTCCTAAAGAACAAATTTCATATTTGATCAATCAACAGCAAGCCAACACATAAATGAAATGAAGGAGCTGTTCAAAAAATATCTCTTATATACACATTCAAACTTCAGCTCGTCTTGAACATTGAAATTTGCGTTGCCAAGATTTCACATCCACCATTAGCGTTGGTAGCCAGAATAAATTCATTAAAATAGTCAAAAGGATAAACAGTGTCTCAAGCAACAATGGCAGGGGAACAAGCAGACCAATCTTAATCTAGGGATCAAGGCAAAAATGTCGAATTCGAATTCCAAGAATAACAAATGGAAGCTAGAGTTGGTATCAGCATGAGATCAGACTCCAGCTCTTGCACATGGCAGCTAAGCAAAGAAAGGTCACTTAGAGCACGTTCCTTCACTAAGCAAGGCAAGCTGAGCAGTGATCAACTCACAAACACTTTTCAGACGGAAATAAAACTATGCCACTTCAGGGGACAAATTCCCCTAAAAAGCTCTCCTTTTTAAAAAACCCTGTCACATAATGAGTCCCGCCACAATCCAAGCAGTAATTGAAATTTGATCAAGGAACCGCATTGTAGTAAACCACAACTGAACTGAACTTCAACCCATCACATTTCAGAGAAGAATTCCAAAATCGAGAAGATCAAAGTAGCAGTAACAGGCAAGAATGACAGGTGCGCACCTGCCCAGGCGTAACCGGCCCCGACACGGCCACCATGTTTGTGATCCGTACACTGCCAGCAATCCAAACAAAAGAGAAGAAAAAGGCGAAATTCCAATCAGAACCCAAAATGCAAATCGCCCAGAATTCTCCGATCGGAATCGAGATTCAGCAGAAGAGTAAAGAAAATGAGAGAAGATGGTACCGGTGAGACAGAGGAACGCGGCGGGAAAGAGAGAGAGAGTGGCGCGGAGACGACGAGGGTCAAACGAGTGAGGGAAAGAGTGATCTATTAAACGGCATCTGAGAAGTAGAGATAGAGATCTGGTGAGAGGTAGAGAGAGAGGGGCAGAGTTTGCTTGAAGAAACAGGAAGATCGTTTGTTGAATTAACAAAGGGGGTGAAATTGGCGGAAGTAGTAGACACGTCTGCTTCACTGCGGGCAACAATGGTGGAAATCGTTTGATTAGTCGAAGCAGTTGATGTTGTTGTTGCCAGTTGGTGGCGATGGGGATGGGAATAAGGATTATAAGGACTGGGGAGTCCTTTTTCCGGCTGGTGAATTTGGCCTGTCAATGCTGGTGAAAGAGAGTCATCAATGGCACCAGCAGGCAGCAGCGGCAGCAGCAATAACAAAACACAACCAAGAATATTCAGGGAAGGAGGAAGGGAAAAAGTAATTTAACCGGATCATTATTAAAAGTATAATAGCCCAATACGGCTGGCACTGTACGTTTAGACTGCTTTACACTGCTCATTTAGACTCAATTTTCCTGTTCACTCTTCTCTGATTGGTTGTTAGCCCGTGGTGGGGCCCTTTGTGTCCTTACTTTTGTTTGGAGTGATCAAAATTCGAAAAGGGAACGAGCAACATAGATAGCTTTTGATTTTGTTAGTGATCTGGAACACCCTCAGAGAAAAATCGCGTTGGTCACATGGCTTCTTTTTGGGGCCGGTGGTTTTTGGTTTGCTGATGGAAGCTCTGGGGAATGGGGATTTCTGTCGCCGATTAGTCCCATCGATGGTTTTTGGTGGGAGGTGGCGACTGACCGTTTTGATTGACGCGGGCTTTTCGTCTTGCAGAGAGACGAGAGAGGGTCAGTGAGTGGAGATATGACAGAGGGAAGAAATCACAACTCTTCTTCTCCACCACACATTATACCTACCTCTTCAATCCCACTTTTTCTTTACCCATCTCGTCTCTTCCATTAGGCATTTCCTTGCTCCCATAACAATTGGATTCCCTCGGCAGAAAGCTCAGTTGATTTCTTTATCCTCTTCTCACATTCAAATTCGTCGTGCGAGCACCTGGTTCCGGGAGGAAATTGAAAATATGTCAAACCTTTCCCCAAAGCATGAAAGCAACTGACCTCCTTCCCTAAAAAATCCCCGATATCATAGCTAGAAGGGAGAGGTACATGTGTCGTCGGTGGTAACGTCAATGGTGGGAAACTGAAAATCGGATTCAAGTGGACGTTGAGCACTCATTTAGCCTATTCGGCGCAGTAGTCTGTTCTCTCTCATCGCGGTCAGAGGAAGCGATCTTTATATATCTATTCATCTCTAATGCATTTGCTTTTCTCCATGTTTCCAGTATGGGTACGTTCTCTCTTTCTCAAGGGGTTTTTGGGATCTCTTATTGCAGTTTTTTAATCGTATTCGCCTCTTTGAGAAATAGGCCCAAGCTCTACATCAGAGGAAATGCATCCTTCGGTTGCATATCTATCTAGGTAAGTTTGTTCCATTGATCCTTTGGATATCGTTCGTTTCTGATATGCAGTAACTGAGATTTTTCTTTTTTTGGTTTAGTAGGTCAGAGTTCCGTGAATCCTTCTCTCGCTCTTCGACCGCTGATTTTCCACCTAGATCTTCAGAAGCTATCTATCGCACAACAAGCCACGATCAGAACCCTGAGCGATGTGGCTTTAAATACTGCCGATTCCAGGGTGATTCCGTAATTATTTTCTGGCTCTTCCGTTTTTGGGAAATGTAAATGTTGACACCCTTCTCTTTCCCCTTCCTCTTACAGATTTGCTGCCGTAACGACTAATCGATGGTCCACAAGATTTTCCTAATCTCTGCCAGTGGCAGTGACCAGAGTACTCGGCAAGGTTAAATATCTCTCCTCGATGATTCCATTCCATCTCTTTTCTTACCCTCTCTTATCCCCTGTTATCTATCCCAGTTTTCACTTTTCTCATCCGAATTTTATTTGCAGCTTTTGATGGCATTCATGGGTTTTGGAGTCCACAATTAGAGAGTGAAGTAGCAGGTTATGGAGTGTAATGTCGGGCTTGCAATTAGAGTAACTTAATGTAGTGCTATGAGTTGATTAAGTGTTGTTGTTGGCTTGCTACTTGTCTGTTTTTTCATTCTTTTCGTTATCTTTGGTGTTGTTCATTTTTTAATACCTTTATCCATGCTTTGGTATGGGAAACACAGTCAATTTTCAAGGAGTGGTATTCTGCAATAGTCCGGGAAGTCCAAAAATGTAAAAGAGGCAGCAGAATTGCAGGAAGCAAAAGGAAGATGAGAAATTGGTGCCTGATATGGATGCCCCAGGTGGAAAGTCGTGGCATTTTCTTCCCAAAGTAACTTCTTCTGTTCCATGTCATTTGAATTTCTGGCTATTTATTGGTCTCCTCGTGTCAAGCTTATTGAAGTAAATGTGTTAGTTTGGATGTTAATAGATTGGTATCTGTAATCCTTTTGCTGATGTTGAATCTCTTGTGGTTTTAGTTCCTTGCACTTTCGTCAGATTTGAGTCTTTCATCTCACGTATTCTTCTTTTCTGTTCATGGAGGTAATTTTTAATGGGTTGTTCCTGTGTTGTCAATAGACTCCCAAATAATGGGGTATTTGGTGGTTTGATTATTAACATCTCTATTTTTTCTTATATTTAGTTGCTTCAGTTTGCTTGCAAGAGTTTCATTGATTGTGTGTTAGGATTAATTACTGTTTCATGTCCTCTGTGTTTTTAATGGAAGCAACTAGAAAGAGTTGCCAATTGGTAACTGTTGGGGGCTTTATATTACAACTGAAAGACCAACCATCAAATAAACCATCTCCAAACAATTGACATGTATTTTCATCTCAATCAAAATTTCTGTGTTCATATGTTATCCAGCAGAGTGAAAATACTCGGCACATACCAAGTTTACTTCAGCAATACATACATTTTTTTACAGCTTTTTAATTTTCTCAATGTATTGCTTTGACAAGTTATTTTCCCCTACACTGAATCGTGACATGTTCTACGAAACCAAGTTTGGATATTCTTCGAAATTTTGCAGCACAAAACCTAATTTTGGAAATTCTATTGACTTATAATTGACTACAAGTGTACACCAAGTTGCATTATATCAATCATAAGTGTATATACAATACCTGTAGTTTTGCCATTGTGTTCTAAATCCCAGCGCGGAGCGCGGGTAAGGAATGCTAGTTAACTTATCAAAACAAGAAGAAAACCCTAAAAAAGATTTTAAGTTATTAGTTTCTTATTAGTGAGAGATCTCATATTCTAGCATATGTGAGCATTGAGTAGTTAAGAGTTTTATAAATTTAAAATTATAACGATAACTAATCTTACATAATAAATTTGAAAATTAATGGGATTTGAAATACCAACTAATAGTTAGGGAATTATATTATGTTAAAAGTTATATCATATCGATTGAGAAACGAGAAGTCTAACCAATCATGATATTTAGACTATCATAAATTTCATCAACAAATGAGAATGATGATACGTGAAATTGAGGTATTCATGGTCGGATATAAATTTGAGTTTGTGAAACCTGAAGAAAATCAAATCAACCAGATATTTCATCCAAAGTTGGATGTTCGTCCATGAGTGTAAGCAGCAATGAGAATAAGTTCTGGTTTATTAAACTGAACCAAATTGGATAGTTCGATGAAATTGACCCAATGAATTGATGTTGTAACGATTATTCTAATTATCACTTTTGGTTAAATATAAATTGGTTCAGTTTGATTTTTATCTTAAGTAAGGCCAAGTGCTACAATGGATTTGATTTTCTATTTGAAAGCACAAGTGACTAGAGAGCGGATGCAAATTCATCATAGCTCTAGTCATCACAAACGCTTCTCCAAAATTAATTAGACTCGGCTCGTGTAACTTAGTCAATAATGAATGAATTAAATCACATTCGACTCATCTATAAATTAAATAGACATCATACATGATAAAAGGAAACCTGCAGATGCAGTCCATGCATGGTGCAAACATATAACTTGTGAGCATCAAGTTTCTCACGTCCGTGCTTTAAGAGATAAAATTATTTTATTTGAATAATTTGAATGTTTAAACTACTTCCAAACATGCTCTAAAGGAAATTATGTAGACTTTGAGCTCGATGCATCAATAGGTTAATATTTGAGTCGCTCACTCATATAAAAATTAAGGTTGTGCGAAGAACTTAGAGCTTATTAGATCACTAGCGGGCGTTGCATTTTATTTTGTTGTTTTATTTTGCGGTCATTTTATCATATTCTTTCTTATTTATTTTGGGCGTATGCAATAGTACTTGTATTTTATATGTCTTGTTTGTTTTTCTTTCGCATTGTCCTTCCTATTTGAGTTTAGGACTTAAAGTGGTTTTACACTTTTACGATGAGCATATGCGTTGCGTTTGAAAACTGAGGCATAATGTATTTATGGATTGAGTTCAAAAAGCTCATATGACAGATGTAGTAGTTAGCTGTTGTTTGCAAATTTTTTATATGATTTTTTTTACATTGTATCGTTAATCTAATTTGTCTTGTTTCTGTTATTGTTCACGTATTTGTATTTTCTAATGTTTATGATGAAGGTAATTGTTTATGATGAAGGTAATTGAATTAGATAGCTCTTTGTAGGATTTTTTTTTATGTCTTTCGAAGTTTATGTATGTCATTTATGATTTAAGTATTGAAGTTTTGTCCCGTAAGGACGACATAATAGCGCGCATGAGAAGAAATGTGAAAATCTTTATTTGTACTGATTGCATGGTGACGGTTCCCAGCTTTTGTCTCTGTTTAATGAATGAGCCAACTTCGTGGTTGAACCTACCATTGCAAATAGACTGCCAATTTGATCATAAATTTGACATCCAATAGAAAACATATAAACCCGACACCCTCAAATCGTGATAAATCTTTCCACCCATGGAGATAAAACAGAAGACACCAGTATATATCCTGATACAGTCACAAAGTGCTTGGCTACTTCACTGTTTGACTGCAATAGATCTTTTAAAAATTCGGGAGGCTCTCGAGTCGGAGGAAGTTTTACTTTGCCTTTCTTAAAACAAAGAGTGAATTTTGAAGCCCTGAATTTAGAGATCGGGATGTGCTTACTTCTTTCCATATAACAACTGCACAATATTTACATTTACTCGAAGGAGGGCAAAGAGAAAAACCATCAACATGCTTCAACAACGATAGAAAATTACTTTTTCTTACTTTTTAGCAAAAAATATTTGGATCTTTCTATCCATGCGTTTAGTTTTAGCATTTAGCTTAGCAAGTGAATAGTTGCAACATGAAAATAATGATGGGAAATGGTATTATCCAATCATCAAGAGAAACTCCCAATATATAGAAAATTCCAAAATTAAAGGAAGTTAAACTACCAGTCAAGTATCCGAATATTGGTAAAGTCGTCATCTTTGAACAAAACACTATCTATCGTTTCATTCTTACTGTTCTAGTAATTAAGGACTTGATTGGCCTTCATTGTGCTTGAAAATGTTATGCCGGAACCAATCTCAAATATCTATTTTGAATAGTGGTATTTGTCGACTACAATACAACTCAATTGATACTGTCTTGCAACACCTTATTCATCGACCGAATCGGATGCCTCAATACAAACAACAATTGGTAAGAAATCAATTAGGCCAAAATCAAAGTTTGAATTAACGATCCAATTAGGCGAAAACAACACAACCAAAATAACATCTTTCATTTTGTACAAATTGAAAGAACTTCAAAATAGAAACCCACGACAATTGGTAAGAAATCAAATTGTAAGAACTTCAAAATAAAGATAATCTCATGCATAAATAGTAAATACAAACATAAATTGGGAAGAAACCAAATTGGACCGTGTCCATTAAGGGACATCTGCTGAGCCGAAAAGAAATACAAAGCGTCCCAACGTAGGTTTTTTTGGTGAAAGAAGCTAACCTATTATAGAAGGAAAAAAGTAAGGAAATTTTTCCGTTTTTCCTCCGATGATGGGAGATGATGAGGAGCAGCCATGTGCTGATGTGGCAGTAAATTGGTTTTGAATCCCTATAATATTAAGTAAGGATAAGGATTCGCTCTCTAACCTGTCTGGACCTTTTTAATTTGATTTCTCTTCATTTTTTCCCCACTCTGCATGTACCTTTTCATTTGAACTTTAACCTGGTCGCATTCTGTTGACATCCAAAATTATTTTGGCCTGAATTCAATGTCGCATTAGTTAGTATCGGCATTTCATTCGATGTCGCATGATAAAAAACGGCGCCGCGAAACTCAACAGTATCGCGGGACTAGGAAACGATGTTGTTTATCTAAGAACGGCGTCGTGGGGTGAGAGTTGACGGTGAGTCAACAGCCAAGAGCGACAATATTAATTGAAAAAACAATGCCGCGATGGCCGAGTTCTAAGAAAGGCCAGCTTAATTAATTAATATCTTCATAATTATTTTGGATGGTGTCATTTAGTTGCAAAATGACACCGCGGGAGGTATCAACAACTCCGCAGCTTAGAAAACGACATTGTTTAGTCAAAAGCAATGTTGCAAGAATTTAACAATGTCGCGGAGTAGGAAAGCGACGTTGTTTAGTCCAAAACAACGTCGCTGGCTCGGTGAAATTGATGAGTTGGGTTGGTGTTTACACCTAAATTAATTTATTTTAGACACTATGTTTTTGCGGCGTTGTGAGGTTAACGATCCCACTGGATAAATAGTATCACGATAATGCCGCAAGTTAAACGAGGTTGCGTGTTCAACAACGACATCGCGAGATTGACGATGTCGCGAGCTAAACAACATCACGATGGCGAGCAGTAACCACACTGCAGTGTTACAAGGTCGATGGTATAGCGAGTTCAACAATGCCGCGATGTTGGCGGCGTTGTGAGCTCGGCAATGTCGTGAGATTCAACGGCGTCACAATTCCAACAATGCTGTAGGTGACAAGGTCGTGGGGAAGATAACAAAGCTATTTTAATGAAGCTCCACGGAGAAACTCGTTGAATTCGTTTCATACACGTGAGATTCATGCAAGCAAGAGTATAGACGAACTCGTGCGAAGAAGAAGGAAGACACGTGGGAATTCATGACAGAGCAGTTGAGGAAGCAGTTCCACTGAGCGTGAAGGCTACGCAGGTGATTTCAAATAAAACCACCAGAGCAAGGAGAGAGGGAGAACCAAAAATCAACACAGAACAACTCTGTTCCAAATTTATCTTTTCTCTGTAATTCTTTCACGGAGCTCTCCTTCCAGGAAGGATCTCCATAGTCGTAGTCGTAGCGTAATTGCAGAGCTCTTCACAGGAATCTCCATAAGAGTAGATTTAACGTAGATTCTCCAAAAACTCAACATCCTCGTTCGAATATTGTTTGGAGAGGTGTGAACCGAATAACAGTCGTTCTTGGTTAGAAGTCAGAGGTGCATCGATCAAATCAACATCGCCCCGCGATGGATATTTGACGGTCGTCTTGGTTTTCAGAAATAAGAGGTGTATCGA